TGCTTTTCCTTGTGTGGGACGCTGAGAGCGTGGAGACAACTGATGATACTATCATGACAGAGCTTTTCTCAGCAGCAGAGGGAGATGACAAGGTAGACTCGAAGAAAAAGAAAAAAAACAGGTGCCAAAGGGAAGAAATCATCAAAGCGACGGCACGCGACAAGCAGTGGCAGCAGCAGCAGCGCAAGCAGCGATGATGGGGGATCAAGTGGTAGTGATTCTGATTCCGATGAATCAAGCAGTACTTCGGAGGACTGATTCATAGTAGTTTCAGAATGTTTCAGCTTCCACTCACTGTCATGTCTTCCTTACAATTTTGGTGGTTCCTTGTTCAATTCTTTAGGACTGTAAGAAAAAAGAAGAAGAAGAAGAAAGACCGAAAGAGCAAGAAAAGCCAGAAGAAAGACAAGTCAAAAAAGAAGAGACGAGATGAGAGGAGGAACCGAGAGAGAGAGAAGAAGAGACAGAAGCCCAAAAGAAGAAACGCCTAGAGAAAGAACACAAGCAAAAGAAGGCAGAAGAAGAAAAGGCAAAGAAGAAGGCTTTTCAGGAACGTATCAACAAGGGAAAAAAGGCTGGTCTTGCGTTGCCAAATATGATGATCAAATTAATTAATAATGCCCCCTCCTGAATGGTGTATAGGGGACTCAAAAATTGAACTTGTCAGGCCATCAGCGACTTGAACCGGAAGATTCAGCACGCCTCCGGCAAAGAGAAAGATCTTGGTGATGTGCTTTGACCTCAGCACGCCCACGGCAATTCTGAACTTGTAACCGTTGAGGGCTAAACTCACAAGGTCTACTGGGTCCGTTTCTCTTCCATCCAACCAGCCCACTTAATGGGATTTTGCATGATTCCTCAGGGACGTTGGCGTGAAGGATGCCATCTTGCCGGGGCTTCAAAAGCAAAAAGCGATCTTGGGAAAGGTTCGCGACACTCTTCAAGTCTGTGTTGACCAAATGCAGGACCGGTATACGATTTCTTGCCCGCTTACCTTTGCCATGCAACACCCCCCTTTTGAACAGGACAAGGATTTGGACCGTGTGACCAAAGATGCTGAAGCCAAGATTGCTGAATACAAGAGTTTTTTTGTCACGCAGCAATCTCAAGTGACATTGTATTGTCACATCATTGTTTTGTGGGGAGGAGCGCCATGCAGTGCTAGTTGAGCGGCCATCCCGGGCACTTCTGTTTGAGTTGTGTGATGTGTTGGAAATATTGCATAATCCCTGTCTAATTTTATAATTTATACATGGTATACACCTATAGTAGCATGTGAGCCATGAGTGTGCCCCCTGGGGTGTTCTTGAACACTGCAGCTCCATTGACTGTGTGAATACACGCAGTTGAAATCTCAACGATCTAGCTTAGAAGCCGAAGTGCTAATTTGTGCGGTGAGAAGCCATAGAAGTGTGTGTTTTTGCATGCACCCTGGCAAGCTACACCAACCGCGGGGACCATAAAAGAAATAGTTGGCTCCGATGTTGCATGAGAGAATCTCCGTATATCACCCGATCTCTATCACGTCAACCAGGTGGCAAGCTTTCCAAAAAGTCTTCTGCGGTGCTGGTCAATGAGATCTCTGAAGTCGCGACAGGAGAACTCCAGTTGCACATGGAAACGATTGGCTTCATTATGAAATTGAAATTTAAATTGCCCCCCAAAAGGCACCAATCACCACACCGCTCCCTTATCCGAGTGAGCTAAGGGCAGCTCGGTGGACCAGGCGATGCGATCCATCAGAGCTCATCACAAAGCCCCATGGCTGACTGGGTGCTGACTAGGTGAACTGAAAAGGGGAAGCCTTCATGCTCCTATTCTTTTGGGTGACCCCTTGAGTCCCTTGAGAGAGTTTCTCAATTGCCTAGGATGCCAGAGGAGCAGCTTTGCACCCCTTGGTTTCCAAGCTTGGAACTTTGTATCCCCGCAATGCCAGCCGTGACTTTTGGCGCCACGTGAACAAAGGAATAGTGCCTGGTCCACTAACTTGCAAATTTATCATTCAAAAGTTGTTTTCTAGTTCTTATGGTTTGGTTAATTGTTGAGGATGTTTAGGTTCCTTCAAACTTAAAGATTTGGTTTTGCTAGCTCTGGATTGAAGTTTGGGCACCTGAGGGAGTACGAGTGGAGGAAATCAAGATTCCTATGTTAACCGAAAAGGTGAGCAGCGGGGATCCTGACTTTGAAATGGTTTCTTGGCCCATTATGGACGTACACAGCATTCTGGCGTGGCTCTGGAATGATGCTGGCCTAGAGATTCCAGATGATGCCCTTGAGAACTTTTGGAAGACATCGCGCGAGAATAGAGAAACGTGGGCGCTCCTTTCCGATGCGACCAGCGATTTTGTTCCAATTGGCCTCTACGGAGATGGGGCTACCATCCAACTTCAGATCGGAACTGCATCTGTGATCGGCATTTGGCTGAATCTGCCGCTTTGGCGGCCGAAGACAATTCGCTTTTCACGAATGCTCCTATGCAGCGTACCTGAGAGCCGGCTCTTTAAGCATTACACCCTGAACAGTATTTACAGGCGCATTGTGTGGAGCTGCAATGTCGCATATGTGGGCGTCCACCCCCATACCGACCAGTCTGGCAACCAGTTGCCTCCTCACTTGGCAGCCCTATCGGGACAGGCCATTTGCAAAGCGAGGTTCACCGTGACTGAAATTCGGGGAGACTGGAGTTGGCAATTGAAGGTGATGAGATTTGATGCGAGCTGGGCCAGTACAAATTGCTGTTGGCAATGCCCGGCAACTCAAACAGGTCCGCATACTGATCGCTACTACAACTTTTATGGCGATGCTTCCTGGGAAAACAAAACCTTCAACTTTGCTGAGTTCATGGCTGTGAAAATGCCGGAGGATGGCCTTTGTCACTCAAATGAATTTGCATTGTTTATTTGTGGGGTGGGTGGGCGTCAACCATGCCAGTCTTGCATATTAACCTTGCTATGAAGCACCCAGGTCCCTTGGTGGCTCTCAAGAACTTCGATCCAACGGTTCTGAAGTGGTGTGCCACGCACACCATTCATCTGGGCCTCCTCTACGTTTGCAATGGCTCTTGCCTGACACTTGGTCCTGTTTAACGGATCGTTTTTCTTATTGCGCAGCGTGTGTGTTTGATATGTCTTTTGGTTCTCCATGGTCGCGTGTTACCTCAGCCCAGGAGGACGCTGATAGACGTTGGATTTTTCAACACGCCTCCGAACGAGACCTTGAAATTCCAGCTTCGCACAGCCTGGCGGCATTTGAAGCTTTTTTACACTAGGGAGAAGATCCAATGCAGCCAGCCAGTATTCAGACCAGGTTTGGTGCCTTCGATGATGAATCATCTTTTGGTTTCAATTGCTTTTTGATTGGTCTTTGGGGGTTTGGGGGTTACCGTTTACACGAAAAAATACATAGCAATTGATCTCTCCTAAGTTCAAGATGAAGAACAACGACGTGCTATTGCTGTGCAAGGCCTTCAACGGCCGTGTAGTACAACATTGGCTCACGATGTGCATGGTTGAAGCCTCCCAGCAACCACATTTTGCAGATCAGGATGAAAGGTTTCCACTTATGACATTGGCTATGTTCCTTGGAGTTTTTGGTCTTCATCAGCCTTACAGTATCTGATTCAATGTAGCTTGACATACAGGTGGTGAGTTGTGGTTGTGATGTGGTTCTAGTCCTAGCTAGGCTACATATGGACCGATTTCTTGGTTTCATGGAGCGGTGCCCGCGATTCATGAAGCTTGCTCGCAAAATCGTGGGTTTGTGGAAAGGACCTTGAAGCGTTTGTGTTCCTGAAGGTCTGATCAGGAAGCGCAGGCTCTCTATGCTGAGGGGCTTGCATATAACCGGTTGAATGTGGTCTTGGCAATGATGAGCATTAGGCCTGCTTGCATGGCTTGGAGATTTGTCATCTAACTGGTGTGTGTGATTTTTTGGTGCGGCGCTGATAGGATGGGAAAGCAAGAATGGTTCTTACGTCCTAAGAACCATGCTTCTTGACAAAATGCTTGGAACAAACCTCCATTATGCCAGTGTACCCATGTCCATGACATACATGAGGCTCTACATCACCTCTACAAAAATGCACTGGTCAATAGAAGCCTAGTTGCAAAGTGTTTTGTTTGAACGAGTTGCAAAGTGTTTTGTTTGAACGTCTTGATTTGGTGCTTGATCTTTGTACCTGTCTTCCTTCCAAGGATGCAACCCTCGGTTCTCACATACTTTCGTTGATGAGGACGCGATGTCCTGGTTGAAACGTTTCTCAGAGCTATGATTTACCTCTTGGCTGTCACTTTGAGTAAGCACTGGACTACAGGACACCTGAAGTAGTGACACGTTGTCTGAGGAATCTGGTTGAAGGCCCACCCGAAAAGGAGATACAAATGGATCATGCAATCTGCCCGGTTGAGACTCCTGAGTGCTAAGTTCAAAATGAAAGGGTGTCTTGGTCAAATTCATTTCGCTATTCAACTCTTGCTGTGATTTTCCACCTGAGTATTGAACTGCAGTGGTGAGCTGATGAGGTTGAATGCTTCATCAAAGATGCGGCTGATTCGGCGCAATCTCGGGTGAAAACAGCGAACCACCGTGAACGGCAGAGGGCACCGTGAACCATCGTGAGTGTCAGAGCGTACCAAAACACCAAAACAAAGGACCTTGTCCCAACGGCTTTTGTTTTAAAAGGCTTTGGAACCATAGGGTATATAGGGGGTTGATGAATAATAACTTAATGGACAGTCGATCGATCAACATTACTACCATTACTGTATTCCCTTAGCAGGACAGTCCGAACTTCAGAAAATGTTTGAACATAGATCAGGCAACAAGTCTCTTTCTAGCCAAAATGGGATTTTAATGTTTGTCTACCGTGACAATCCTATCAACACTCCATCTGCTACCATCTTGTTCTACCATTCTCTACCATGAAACCCATCAAAGATGGCGATCTTCCTCTATACCAAAAGACTCCCCCAAAACCCGGCGAAAACCTCGTTTTGGTCGAGGTGGCTGACAAGTCCCGCGGGCGTTTGCACTTCGAACTCTTTCAGGACGTGTTTTGCACATGTGTATGTGCCGACCTCTTACACAGGGATTGAATGTTTCGGTCCGTGTGAAGGTCAACTCAAAGCCCCCGCCCAGGCAAATGTATCCATCTGGCACTGCGACACGCTCGTTTTTCACGGTCACAACAGATTCCTTGTGGATCCAATACCCCCAGGTCGCTTGTGAACTGGGCCATGAGCAGAAGAAACTGTGAGTTCCGATCAGTTCATATAGAGAGGATCATAGAGGATCATAGGATCATATCAGAACAATATAAGAAGGGTTCCTTCTTCAGCTTCACGTCCTCGATTTCTGATGGATACGACCACGGAACATGCGCTCCCTGACCGAATGATCGGACACGTCCTGCGCGAAAGCCTCGCAGGACCTGGCGCCGCAGGCGTCCGAGAGCTTCCGGAAACTCTGTGTGGGCCACACGGAGGAGCAGTTTCTTGTGTGGGCCACATGCATCGGGGTGTGTGAAGTGGGAGGTTTGGCCCTTGAGCTGGGAATGGGATTTCGGATTTCATGTGTGCTGCTTAGGAACGTCCTTTTCGAACGGTAGTAGTCCTGAAGATTGAATCAACTTGAGCCCAACATTCAATCAGATCCGGACATAGATCCGACGAAAGCGGCAACAACAAAGCTTCCTGATGCCACGTCACTAGGGTATATACAAGCTATACGGAATACCACTTACGTCAACAGGATTAATTTCAGAATAACTGTTTGGGGTGCCGATTTTCTAGTAAGGTGCGTCCATTCACCATGGTCAAGGCTCCGTAGAAACTGCCCGTAGACACTGCCAGTAGCGGGGGAAACGGGGGGAAACACATCTGTCCCCTTACGGGACCCTAGGGTATCCTCTTAAACCCCATACTGGGCTCAGGTGACAAATGGATACAAATGGATTGTACTCTGAGTCTATATTTCTTTTGTGGGTGGAAGTGGCCAGTAAAGCGCTCTCTGCACAGATCTAGGAGCATCAGCTGTGGACCTGGACTTGGACTCCACGTATTGCCTTTCTCGCGACCTGACTTGTCTCACGTTCAAGGAGTCTCCCGACATAGTTCTGCTATGTTCTGCTTACTGTAATCTCCTGCCAGCCTGTCAACTAGCTTGGCCTGAGGATGTTGACGGATAGAGTACATCTTGCCGCTCTCGAAGTGGTGCCATCTTATGCGTCCTTTGCTAAGACCGTTGCTCTTTGCGCGGCCGACCATGTTCCTCTACCAACAGGGTGGTTTTCCACTTACCATATGATTGTTTCAGGGAGTGTGACCTCAACCCTTTGGGAAGAAACTCAAAAAGCCAACCCTCCTGGTGAGACCATGTGAGACCAAGAGCTCCGACCGAACGCCCTCAGCCTCTCTCCACTGGGCGACGTTTGACTCGCCGCGTATCGTCCACGCCCGTCCACGGCAGGACTCTGGTGCCACTGTCACCTACGCGCAGACGGCCATCGACCTGGTCTACGCTGGCCGCTACATCACGGCCGGCGACATCGATGCGGCTCGGAAGGGGTCGGCCGTTTGGTTCCGGCGGAGCTTTCGCGCCAAAAGGAACAGGGCAAAGGGTTCAGCGTGTTCAGCGTGTTCATCATCCAAGCTTGCTGACTTGTGACGCGTTCGGGTTCCAATCCTTCTGACTGTGTGGGGGCGTGGGGGACACTCCTGAGTTCAGTGGCAGCAAGGGAAGTATGTCCCATGTGTCTTTCAGGGGCATGTAACAGGCATAACACCATAATTGTTATAACGGAATATATTATAGATAATATTTAATATAGTATAAATACCTCCGTCCTCAAACTAATTATGTCAAAATATAGCTGTTTCCAAAAAACATATAGTTTAGAATGAAACGGCATTTGGTTTGTGGTCACCTTTTTTCCCACAAAGCGAGCAGAAAACAGATCTTCAAGCAGCGCGTGCCTCTTGTGAATCGGCGCAAAACAACGTAAAAACGGCGCAAAACATCGCAAAAACAGTAATACACGTTTTAAGTCCACATCTTAAAGGCAAGGGCGATGTGAAAGGACCATAATTTGTGGAAACGACACTTTTTCTGCAAAACTATACGGACAAAGAATGCCTTTTTCACGACACGATATTCAAATGTCACACCGGGGTGGCTATACGGTATAACATATGTCTTTCAGGACTACATGCCCCACATGTCGACAGACAGACTACTTCCCCGCTGCATGTCTCCCAGGCCAGCCTGTCCTTCGAAGGCATTGATCGCAGTGGCGAGCTGACGCACCAGAAGGCGATTCGACCGCCCGACCGGGTCGACCGTTCCGAAGGGCTCCGTCGTTCCGGACGACCACGGTAGTGCTGGGTTGCTTGTGCTCTCAACCGGTAAAGACGTCGTTCCCCTTGGCAGAGCCAATTCGGGGGCTGGGTGCGAGGCCTTATGCCTATTATGCGGATCATCGAACTTTTTTGGTTTGTCTCTCCTCATAGGTAAACCAACTAAAGAAACTGAAGAGTATAGAGCAATGATGTTCAATGGTTTTTGCTTGCGACAGAGGCAACACTTCTTGATCAAAGAGTTTTCGAGAAGGTTTCAACTTAAGAGCTTTCAACTCAAGCCCTCAAACAAGCTTCAACTCGAAACAAAAAGTGCGTTCCGCTTGCAATTTGCAACGTAAATGTAAATCCGACAGTGGGTGGTTTCGCTGCAATTGTTTCATTGACTTGTTCACCGACTCGCTTGGCCCGACTCGCCGTTCGAGCAACCAAAACGGTGCAGTGAACGCCACTTGCAGCCGCTGCGAGACTGAGAGCGATACTGGTACCGCCTTTAATTAATTTGTGCACGACTATATATTTGATCTATTTTGCACTACCTGGCATCAAGAAAGTTAATGAGGTTTTCTGTTTGACATGTCATGCCTTTTTCAATATGCCTCAGACTTCATGGTCCTTTCTGTTTCAGGGTTTTCTTTTGTCCCTTCCGCAGATCCTGCATGATCCTGCATCTTTTTAAGCAAACGTCCTGGTTTGACCACCCTTCCAACCATGGTCCTTGCTGCCACTCTTTGTCCCATGGACGAACCCCGCACCATGGTCCACGACGGTCGGTCGGCCCGTTGGACCGTGGCTGGGACCGGGCGGTCGCCAGGCGGGGCTGTTGACGATGCCTTGTGGCAGTGCCAGCTTGTTTGATCCCCGCTTCCAAATCACCTTAGGCACGATGGCTTCGACGCGCTCCGTGGCACGGTCCGTGGCGGATGGCGGAGGGCGTCGCAGGAGGAGAAAGGGGGAACGTGAACACTTCACCGACTGTACTACCGACATGCACCCCCGAAAGTGCGGCATAAAAAGGACAAATCAGTGCCTCACAAGATCTAGAATGGACTTTCTTCAGTTGTATCCTTTTGGGGAAGCAAGCTGAAGATGGGAAGTTCTTTTGTCACTTTAGTTTTGTGATGCTTTATTCGAGTTTGCTATGTTGATCTTGGGTGGTTACCTGGTCTTTCAGAAACCGGACCCACGATTTTCACATCTTCAGCAGTCTTGGGCAGGTTCAGTGCCTGAGTTTGATGGATGCTTGCAAGGGAGAGTTGGAGATGGAGGGCGTGCGGTCAGGGCGGCCTCGGTGGACCGATCCGGGGGACCGATCCGGGCCCTACTTACCGATCCCACCAATGCGACCCGCTGAAGGCGACCTGACGTTCTTGATGCTGACAGCTGTACATACAGACAGCTGTTTGTTTCATTGTCATATCAAACATTGGATACTCCTGGTCCTTCTGAAGAAGATCCGTCAATCTGCTTGATTCTGCATGGCCACGCCATTTCCACCTTTGCTTGCTGGTGCGATTCTTTTTTGCGGGACCCACGTGGCGGGGGGGTTCCCCGAGGAAAGCAGCTGGTCTTCGGGCAGCTTTTAGCGTCCCCAGGCCAGGCTCTGGCAGGAGGGAGACGCTGGATGTGTTTTCCGGTGTGGAAGAGGAATTGTTGAAACGACAACTACTGAGGACTTTTGAGTACTTGGTGTCGTCGTTAATGTGATATGATGTAATGATATGTAATGTAATGTAAGAGCTGCTTTTAATTGGCAGATCCAGTGGTTCCATGATAGCCGAACAATTCTATGGTGGTCAAACCGCCTGGGCCACTAAACGTTAAATACGGCCTAAACTATGTCCTTGACCCATGACATAGTGGAACCCCAAACCAACGTGTTGGGGACACTGGGGGTGCAGGGCAGGAGGCGAAATCTTCTGTCGCTGATGGAATTTCGGGACAACGGATCGGTCGCTTTGGGGTCAATGGAAGGTATGCCGAAGTATATGCTGTAGTGGATGCTCCCTTTGGGTTTGACCAAATTAAATTACAACCCAAACCCATGGTGGTGAGTGTGACACATTGCCCACAATCCATAGTCACATGATGTCACATGTGTTACATGTGCTATTTTTCAGGAAGGTCCGGGCCCACACTGGGCAGTGAGACCCCATCCATATCTCATTCAGAGCCCTTCGCTTGTGTGCAAGAGGGATGTTCGTTTCAATATCTTTCAATCCAACGCCTTGTGATGATAGTCAGTGTTTATGGGCTCGAATTTGGGTTCATGAATCTCAACCATGCGTGTGCAGAGGACCTGTTTCTTTCTTCGCAGTGCGAGCTCCATCAGCCGAATCAGCTCCATCCACCCGGGCGAAGCCAGCAGGGCGACTAGCAGGGCGAGTCGCCAGCAGGGTTCCTTCACAGCATCGCCAGGCTCTGCCTTGCATCCCTTGCACTGGATTGAGGCGATGGGCACCGCCAACGGCACACCACGCCGCTATGGACGGCAGATGGGTGGGTCTGGGTCAGCGATCGACGCGCAGACGGAGGTCGGGAGATGGATGGGTCATGTTTGAAGTCGTGAGATGTGTTGAACATACGATTCATACGATCATTGATCATTTGACATCATGTTCCTTTTATATCCTACTACCATTATAGTAGTAAATACATGTTCTTATTGTTATTGTATCTTCATCATCGTTCTGTGTGTTCTTTTTCTGAATCTGGTTGAAGCTTGAAGCTAAAGTCGTGGAGATGCACTAAGGAGAAGAGATCTCCATCAAGGCTTGTGGTGAGTGCAGCGCTGAAGAATGCCAGGCAGGTATTGTTTTCAGAATCAAAGACATCCGATTGGAAACTTTGCCCGGAATCCCACTGAACACCTCGAATTAGTGAAGTATGTTCATCTTTAATTTGCAATGAAGGTAGCATGTACATGGGATTGTCAATTGTTGCCCCCCCCAGGGAGAGGCAAGGATATCACCCCGTGTGGAGCACAAACCATCATGCAAAAACAACATTCAAAACACATCTCAGTGCCATACAAGTATATAAAGCATGCAGTGAGTATAGATCTATATAGACTTAGCCTATATACAAATCTCACAATGAACTCTGAGACTTCTGAACACACGCCCACCCCCACACACCGACCCCCCCCCCATCGGTTTCTCCCCAGCCATCCTCGTCGTTTCAGGTCCTCCTGGGCGCGATGGTCATGGCGGCGCAGGTGGATCGCACGCCAGAACATCAGGTGGATCGCTACGGACGCACAGGCGGAGCCCGGCCCGTTCAGAACCGGAGGGGGCGGCGGTGGAACTGGGGTTGTGTGAGGGGAGAACCAGGGACTTCGGCTGTAGTGGAACGAAGCCTTCTTTGAAAGCCAAGGGTGGTGAACATCGAGGCCTGCTTCGTTCAGTTTTGGAGATGTCCATCCAGACAGCAGCAAGGTGTCGGCGTCGAACAAAGCCGGGCGGGACTTGACCAAAAGACTCGACCCTCGTCCTTTCTCGAGGCCACATGCATGGGGAGTTGGAAGATGCCGGGGCACTCAGTTGGTTTTTTTGCGTCTCAGAATGGGGGTGAGAGTCACTACGGGCTAATGTATACTCAATCAATGAACAACCTGGTCATATGGGGTGTTTTGTGTTATTTTATCAGGAGTCTACAGTTTTGCATCACGTCTTGATTTTCTTGCCTTTGTCGCCCCTTGGTTGGTTCCTCGCGAAAATAAGCCGGGGATGAGGACGGGGAGATCAGGGTGGCCGTCTAAACGGAGTGGGCGTTTCGCATGGCGATTTCGCACAACAAAACAACACCGTGAGCTCACGTGTAAACAGGCAAATATGAATGCAACAAGTAAACAAAAGATATCATCCAAACAGAAACCAAAGCATGTTGCATTACCTGCTTGCACTGAGGCGGTGACGCACGACAATTTGACCCAAGTCCTCGAGCTTACAGCAGCTTCGGCTTCAGGATGGTACGCGGTCGTTCTCTTTCCAAGGTGGTGGATGTGTAAGATAGGAGCTCGCCATTTTCATTTCTACGGATTTGTACAGTACACTGCAGGCGGAACCTGAATCATTTGGATTGTTGGTCTGGCTAAAAGAACCCACGTGACTTGGTGGACATTCATCATTTTATAGACTCTGTTCCTCATATCAACCCTCCATGGGAGACTGCACTGTGTGCATGCAGTCATGCATGCAGTCATGAAAGTACTTCATTATGGTCGGAACTATCGGGGGCCTTATCGGAACCCTAGAAGTCCAAAGACTATATTTTGACCGGCTGAAGTAAAGGAAGTGTCCTTTCCGGTCCCCTAAAGACCATTCTTTTTATAGTCTTTGACTCCCACGGGGAACCATACGTGAAGATTGAAGATCGCACAGTCTCGCCCCCTCCCAAAAAAACGTTTTGTAAGTGAGTCGACACTCCCAACGTATATATAGATATATAATCGAAGAGGTTGGGTCGGCCGGTGTTTCGGACGCTCAGCGTGGGGTTTTTGGTTTTCTTCTGTACTTCATTCATGGGTTTCACTCTCCAGGTTTCGACATCCATGAACCAAAGGTCGGTCGACGTCTCGGTGACTGACACCTGTGACGCCTCGTGGCCCGTGGCCGCGTCGGCGTCGAAGGTGTGGAAGGTCGGCTCGAACGGAGTGAAGGACTTCCCTGAAGCACCGATCTTGGACTTCAAAGAATTCTACTCAAAGCCCGTGGCTGTTAGGGTTTCTTGCACTGGGCCGTTGAATCAAGGACTATCCTTGGTGATGGGGCACAGATGACCCCGTGCCTATGCTTTTGAATCTTTTGAAGGGTACTTTGCAGGCTTTTTCTCTACCCCAAGAGAGGTTGAGAGACCATATAGGACCCTGTAGTGGTACATACGAGCTGTTCAACCTCTCTTGGCCTACACCCTCCATTCAGATCATCCAGAATCTCAGCCAATATCGATCAATATCGCAACATATTCATATACATATTCCTTAAAGCCACAGAAAGCCTAGATGTTTTTCAAAGTGAAGGGCTTCCGGGGAAAAGGCATCATGATTGGCACAGCTTGACAGCCCTTTTCGTGACTTCACCTCGAACGCCGTTGGTCGCAGCTAAGGAAGATTTGCTGGGTCGCTTGCACGAAGCAAGTCGCACTTTTTGGGATTCTGCCGAAGAATAAGCAATGCAAGAGTGCTAAGCCTAGCTAGCTAAGATTAAGCGAAGATCCAAAGGCATCCCGAAGAAAGTCGCCTTCAGGAAGATCCCTTTTTTGCCCTCATGAAGAAAGATCCCCTAAGAACGAAGAGAGTCGCGTTCTTGCAATTTCTCCTGAAAAAGGGCTTAGGGGCTGTTCTTGCGGGCAAGGGAGGCCAGGGACGCAAGGGATCCTTTCTTATGTATATGATCCAGAGGGATTGTTTCCATTTGCATACCGGACCTGGTCCGTGGGGCTCTTGTTCTTTGCCATGCCCGCCTTTTTTATGGGGTGTCAAGACCGATGTGAGTCGACCATTGAAGACACACGGCACGTGCCTTTCCGCCGTTACGCGGTAACAGATCGCAGAAACACCCAATGATCGGCTCTGTGGTTCTTCCTTCTCTGGATGGCCATGCACATACACCATGCTTAAACCACCAGGGTGGGGAAGGGTTCATCAGGTTATAGCTGTCAGCTTCATCCCTTCTAAGAAGCCCATGTCATTTCTCAGCGTGGAGTGGATCGGTTTTGCAGGACAGGAAAACACAGACCATTATATAGGGACTGGTATATCGGTGTTGGACATCACATATAAATCACCTAAGAAGAAGGGGCAGTGAAGGGTCAGCTGGTGGGACGCTTGGAACCCTTGGTGGCGGGTCTGGAGCCTTCGATCCAGCTCCAAGGATCGATCATAACATCAACAAACACCCGTTCTTCCTAACCTTTCACCTCAACAAGGGGGGAACGGGGAAGTTTCCCCACCAAACATCACCAAACCATACCAACCCCTGTTCACAGGTGGAAAAAGGGTGAAATGGGTTACGCATTTCATCGATCGATCAGGGGTGTCCCCTGAGGGAGTGAGAGACAGACATCGACAGACATCCGAAATTCGAATCTCCGATGGATGAGACATCCACGTGGAGAGACATCATCCGCAAAAGGAATCGCTAGAATGACCTGCCCGCGCACAGCTTCTTCCGCACCTGCCGGCGGTACGGATGAGTCGTTGTGACTCCCAGCCCATGTGTAGATGCCCAAAATAGAGGAGCCCTGAAGGTAGAGCGTCAGAGAGAGTTTACCCACTCGAGCCATCCTGGCTTAGGGACTTTTGAAGGTCTATAGATCGTCCGCGTTTCTTTTAACACACGGGCCGGCGTCAAGGTTTTCCACACGTCTCTCTCCGTCGTTTTCCGAGGACACCTGGAGTGGGCCTGCAAAAGAACCATGGGCACCAGTGAACGGGATCGAGACTTGCCATCGAGAGTCTCGCCGATCGGGACTTTTCTCCGTGCGACGCGTCCCGATGTCGGGTCGAGCGGTTGACTTGGGCGACTCAAAAGGACTTCTGAAGAGGTCTGGACAGGTGTAAGATAGGTCTGGAGAGGAATAGACAGTGATGGGGTACCTCTCAGTGACCTATCTATTGTGTCGCATCAATGCGACGCGACAGGACACGTGTGTGGAAGAGGTCCGGACGTCCGGTTGGTAAAACCTGGCATTCTGGAGGGTGGATCCGCTCTGTAGGTGTGGTGTTGGTGTTTTTGATGGTTTGGGGCTGGCTCAAGGCTCAAGGAGCTAACCCGCTAACCCTAGCAACCCACTGGGTGTTCTTTGGGCTGAAACAAGCCAATACAGTCGGGCTGAAGAACACATCAGCGCCTTTGGGCGCTGGTGAATGAGTCAAGCGCAGGCCCACAGCGGAGGGCCGCGCCCTCGCTCAACAATCCCAACTCAGCGGGCTATAAATGGGAAATCAGCCAGAGCTTGGGCAGCTTGGGCGAAGCCGTGCCTGCGGCTGTGAGTTGCAGTGATGGCCCACCATTTCCTGCAATGTGCAACGTGCCACCATTTCCCGCCAGCACCGATCTGGAAGACTTTCTGCGGCGACCAACAACGATCAGCTGGTGAAGTTCAATAAGCCAGCTTTTGATCGGTGGGATGTCCCCAGTGAACTTAGTGAGCTTCTTTGGGGCCAAAATGCCTGCAGTTGACATCATGGGAGCCATGAAGCCTTCATGGCTCGACCATTGACAACGTTCGGCATCGCAGCGAGGACCCAACATCCGTCGCGTTCAAGGCACGTTCCCCCGGTTTTGGGCAACCCGCTTCTATCTCCGAGACTTCAGACCCGATTCAGGCCCGGCGACCGTCTCGGCGTGCGACGATCGCGACCGTCTCGGCGTGCGATGCGACTCGCGACCGTGGCTTCTTAAGCCAGTTCTTCCGTCTAAAAGTTGTATGTGATCCCTGTGGCAGTCCCTGTGGTGCCTTGTCAAACCGCACAAAGGACTCCACTTAGGCTTTTCACACCATTTTGTGGGACTTGAACCGGACAGATTTGTGGAACAAAACTGCCGTCTCTTCTCACTCCCCGAAATCCCAAGCTGAATCGTTCCCAGACCTCCGAGGGAAGGCCGGCTTGTTCGAAGTCCAGTTGAAGTCGGGGCGCCCAGGATGGACACCCGATGATCATCAGCCAACAAAAATTGTCCATCCGGCTTGCTGGATGAGTTTTTCATGTCATGATATGTCGTCGCCACCAATCCGTCAGCAACAGTCATAGAACAGTAGAAGCCCCAAAAGCAGAAGCATTTCTATTGAATTTAGCTACAAATATATACTGTCACTGTATATTCACTGTATATCATACATTTGCACGATTTTGCACGCATGGATCTGCATAGTGTCTTGCTGGTGTATGTGGCAGGAGGCAAGTACAGCCCAACAAAACCACAGCAACGTCATGGCATCCACCGCACAAAACCAGAGCTTCACTTCGGTGTGAAAGCAATGGCCCGAGGGGTCGGGCCTTGGGGCATGGCACCCGGGGACATGGCCCTGGGGTCAAATGGGTTCTGAAGAGATCCCACCAGGGTTTCGGAATGTTTCGGAAGGTCAACCGAAACCTGGGTGTTTTGCTAGGGGGGTTGGTGTCATGACTCACGGTACCACATGTTTGATAGATCTTGGAACCGGACGACACCGCATTAGAAAGCTGAAATACAGCAACTTGGTCATCGTGGAGGAACACTTTTCCACTATAGCCACCAGTCACAGTCTAGCAGCAGGTAGATGTCAATCCTCGGGGGTATATGTTATATGTGCATAGGATCCAGAAGGGTTTCTTTTGTCCTTGGCTTTCCTGTCGGTACGAGCCCGAGCAGCGTTTTTTCCCCCCCGAAAAAAAACTCCTTCCATCCACCGGTTGAGGTCGCTAGTCAAGGCCTTGAAGAAGGTGGAGTTCAAAGCAGGCGGAGACCCTGGTGAGTTCGCTGGGACGTTGCTGCCATGGATTATGTGTTTTGCTGCCGAAAGATTCCAGCGGCCACTTTCGGTCTTGGCGAGCCAAGTACACATCATGTGGAGACATGTTTGGGGGAAGATGATGGGAATATCACACTCGTTCGTTTCATTTTTGGGCACTCATATGTCATATGTGGTAGATGGATATATACATGTCCATGTAATATGTCCTCAACTCGCTTTGCTGGCGAAGACAGCACATTTGTTCGTCACTTGAACACTCAGAACTTCCCAACCGCTGCCTGCTGCGCGGCGCGGATCCGCGTCGCGAGGCGACGTGAAGGGCTACGAGAACCGCTTGGCGCTTGATGCGAAGAGCCAGCTGGGACGTGCCAAGGATCTAGACGCTTGGAGTTATCCATCGTTTGTCACTACAGAGGAGTCTAGAATCAAACATAATTAGTAGTAAATGTCCAAAATAGATCAAAGGATCAACGTTCAGTGATTCCATGATGATTTTCCCCGAAGGATGTGTTGGATGGTTTGACATTTGTATGGTATTTGATAGTTCACCAATGGGCACTAAGACTAAACAGACAGTAAACATTTGCAGATAGTATACATCCTGGTTGCCTACTGACTGATAGTGCAACACCGGTTTTAGCCAAATCCAACCCACTTTGGCAGCTTCAATGTTGGAGAATAGCACGAACAACATGGTCTTTAACCTGGGATTCGCACTCAGTGGCTGCGAACGATTGAGGATTTCGATCCACTCGAGATTTCGCAGGAATCGCTTAGATCGGGGGATCTCAGACCCACCCCCTGACCCAACGGTGCGAAGCTACGAAGCTACGAACACCCGTTTACGCTGCACCGTCTTACGGCTTTGGCACCGCACCACCACCGGTGCCCGGGTGAGCCCGCCATGGTTTCGGGACAGCGGCACTGTGGAACATCTTGAAACATCCAAATGCTCTTTGGTAACGAGGTCAGTAACCAGGTCTACCTCCTACAATTTCTTTGGTAACTCTCACCAGGGTCCTCCTGTTGTTGGCACGGCTTTGCCAAAGCGCATGGCTTGAGCCGTGTGTACTTGGGAACAGACCGCCGGGCGACAGACCAAGGAAGAGTCCTTGGTGCGAGTATATTAAGGAAGCTCGGCTGGGTTTTGGCTGGGTAGTTTTCCTAGGACGTACATCTTTTTCAGAGTAGATGGCACAATCCCCAAGTTCGGTGGTTTTTCAAGGACCCCATATAAAAGACATCTTTGTGTTTGGTAATTATGAGTTTGGGTCCTGTTTGCTGTTAGCTGAGTCAGGACCTCCAAGCGAGAGGACCATTAGCCGGGGTAGTTTAGTCCCCTCCCAACAGAATGCCCCGAAGCCCTCGGGATGGGATGTGTGCCATTGGCCCAGTCTCCCCCATCCCTGTTGATTTTGAGGCCAAAAAGCAAACAAGTCTGCGGCGCAGATAAGCCCACTCCGCGGAAAAGTTCTTGCTGAGTTCAGGGCTTGCAACTGACACTGATACATCCCGTGGGGCCTGGGGTGTGTGTCAACCAAAAGTAGACCCACCAACGACCTCCCCCCGCTTGACCCGGTTGAGCTCCAACGATCTTCGGCGGTTCAGCGCTTCGGCGCTGACGCTCGGTGTGTCCTGTGCGTGTGACGCCAAAGCAGAAGGAGACTGCATGGTCCAACCATTGAGAACACACACACAGCTGCAATGCTACAGTAACTAATTACAGGTGATGACTCCAATCTTGTGTTGGTTTGAAAGGCTACTATGACTACACAAATCAAGCAGAGTCTCAGTGAACCCTTCCATGGCAGCATATTGTACCTTCTTCGTAGAATCAGAGCCTTTTGCGCTGTGTCTCTTCGTGCCAACCTCGCACCGCACCGCCCGAGTGGTGGCTTTTCGCAAGACCAGCTGACCAGCCCTCCCAGGTCATCCAGTGAGTAGAGATGACCACCATTCGTTTAAGAAAGGATCCATGATGAGCTCGCAAACACTCGGGTGTGGGGGGGTCCCCAAAAGCCTTTTGGTTGGGGTGAAACACCACAACACTCGGGTGTGTTTAATAGGGGGACCTCAACCATGGGTCATTTTGGGGTCTATTTCCCGAACCTTCCAGTAATTCGGAACGCCTGGGAGAGGTCCTCCCGATGTTCAATACACAGCCACTGAGCCACTGAGCCACCCGAAAAAGTCCATCGCGTTGGAAGTTTCAACCAGTAAACGATCTCAAGTTGGACCCCTTTTGCCGTTTGCAGTCTAGAGGAGTCCTCTTTGTCCAACATAATGCGGGCCCAGGCGAGTTAAAAGAAAGGATAATCTTTCAAACAGTTCCAGTTAGGTTGACTTGCAGTCCTTTGGCATCCTTTGGCCGTTTCTTTTTTACAAGTTCTACCTTAAAACGAGATCACGATGTTTCATTAAGATTGAGGCCATCAGTTCTTTTTTGGCAATGTTTACCACACCTCTTCCGCAGCTGCTGCTCCAGTTTTGCGCGGTTCGTCATCACGTGCCGCGGAAGAAACACCGGCCGCGATGTCAGCCTGGGACTTTGAAACCCTTGCGGTACATCGAGATGCCACCACAGGATGGGACGGGAGGGAGATCATCGATGGCGTTTTTATTTTGCTTTGTTGATGAATAGACGGGATACCTCATGAAGAGCCAGTAGGTCATATGCAGGTATAGGGTACCAAGTTGATCCCTCTATTCCCAAAAGCAATGAGGAGCCAGTAGGGCGTCGACTGGTCTACGAAGGGTGGACCCAGCGGGGGCCTCCCCGGCAGGTCAACACCTTCCGATCCAAAAGACGATGGGAAGGTTCACCCAGGTTCACCCATGTTCACATGACCTGCCACATGAGTGCACTGCCATGTTGGCCCACTTGCGCCATCGTAGTTCGAGCAAGGTCATGGGTCTGTCATGGGGGTGCCAAGCGAACATGTCACATGGGGCCTCTTGACTGTCACGTGGGACCTACGGCATGGCGACCGGTCGGCGGACACGAGTCGAGTCGACGGAACACCGATGTTTGGTCTCGACCGTTTTTTGGGAGGCAGTGATTTGGTAGGATATGGACATTTAGTTAATGTTTGAGTCATACAAATTTTACTAATGATAAGTATTGGTCCCATGCATGAACTATAATCCTCTTGGCTTCCTGGCGCTGGGAGTCCAAATGACCAGCTTTCTGCCGTCGTTCTGAGCTCGGACCGAAACCAAGTCTCGTCGTCGTTGGCCGAACGCCGCGTGGACCGGCGGAGGCGTGATGGAGGTGGTTTTGAACCGGCCAAAAGAGCTCAATGCGTCGGGGACCCATGGGTGGCGAGAATCCTGAAACGGCTCACCTGTGCAGCTGACAGTGGATTCCCTCTGAAACATTTATAGCTTTACTTGAGTTTTTGGTAGGTATAGATGTAGATTTGGATCATCAGAGCAACCACGAGGAATGGATGGTTTGGGGGGACTTCTGAGATTCTGGTGATTCGATGGTGCTGGAGTCGCTGCTGATTCTACCAATTAGATGTGGGGTAGGGTTGTGCGTCGCAGTAATCTGGTTCTGGGCAACCGATCCAGAAACCTCTCTTGAGACTGCCGGCCTCTCAGAAGAGTTGCGCAGAAAGGCTTTGGGGAGCCCTTCACAATCAGCACTGCCTAGAAAGCTCATGACAATCCAGAGCATGCCCTTTCTGGAACCACTTTTGCCGGTGGGGCAACTGGAAGCTCCTTCTTGACATGACCAACCATAGTATCTATCTATATCTATCTATACTCTATAGTTTTTTCTTTAAGTTTTTTTAAGTCTTATTTTAAATTTAATACTATACCCTGGATCTTCAAACGGCACTAATGTTTGCCGTAGGCATTCACCATTTTCTTGTGCCGGACATCGAAGATCGAAGGGGTCTGAGTCTATTGTCTATTCCTGTCTTTTTTCTCCTGCCGAGTTCCTGGGTCGACACCGACACCTCACATCTTGAGACGTGAAAATCGTGAAACAACACGACCGCCGTACAGTTCTCCTCATCACCAAAGGTCGAACACGATGAACTGGAAGGAAAGAAGGTATGGCAACTACAACTACAAACTAATCAACGACTAACAGAAATGAATCAAACTGAATCATTTCAATCATCCTCTGTGGTTGAACATCCTTAGTATATGTTCTCTTCCA